AGTACTGGGGTATAATCTCAAAATTATACTGAATAATATCTGTTCGAATCTGAGGCAAACCGTTCAACATCACAGTAATACACATCTATGCTCCAGCCACTGAAACCAAAGAGGTCAAAGTTCTAAGAAGACCTGCAATATCTTGTAACAGTAATACAAAAAAAGATTTCACATTCACCATAGGGGATTGGCATGCTAAAGTGGAAATCAAGAGCTAATTGGAATAACAGGCAAGTTTGGCCTTGGAGTTCAAAATGAAGCGGGGTAGAGGCAGGGAGTTTTTGTCAAGAGAACTTGCTGGCCATAACAAAACACTTTTTCAGCAACCCAAAGGCAACTCTATGCATGGACGTCACCAGATAGTTAGTCTTGAAGTCAGATTGATTATTTACTTTGCAGTCAAAGGTGGAGAAGCTCTAGACAGTCAGTTAAAACAACACCTGGAGCTTAACTGTGGCTCAGATCATGAACTGCTTATTGCAAATCAGACTTAAGTTGAAGAAAGTAGGGAAAACCGTCAGACCATATAGGTTTGGCCTAAATAACTTTTCTTATGAATATGAAGTGGAGATGATGAGTAGATTTTAGTGATTAGCTCTGGTAGATAAAGTACCTAAAGAACTACAGACAGAGGTTCACAATATTTTACAGGAGGCTGCTACAAAAAACATTCCGAAGAAAAGAGCAAGAAAGCAAATTGGCTGTCTGATGAGGCTTTACAAATAGCTGAGGAAAGAAGGAAAGGAAAAGGTAAAAAAGAAAGGGAAAGATCTATCCAACTGAATTTGGAATTCCAGAGGATAGCAAGAGAGAGAAAAGTTTTCTTAAAAGTACAATGCGGAGAAATAGAAGACAACAATAGAATGGGAAAGATAAGAGATCTCTTCAAGAAAATTAAAATGTGAAGGGAATGGTTCATGTGAAAATGGGCATTATAATAGACAAAAATGGTAGGGACTTAACAGAGTAGAAAAGATTAAGAAGAGGTAACAAGAATATACAGAAGAACTACACAAGAAAGATGTTACCATCGCCCATAACTGTGATGGTGTGGTTACTGAATTAAAGCCACACGTCCTGGAGAATGAATTCAAGTAGGCCTTCAGAAATTTTGCTAACAGAAAGGTTAGTGGAGGTGATGGGATTCCAGCTGAGCTATTTAAAATTCCAAAAGGTGCTGCTGTTAGTGCTGCACTCAGTATGCCAGCAAATATGGAAAACTCAACTGTGGCCACTGGATTGGAAAGATCAATTTACATCCCAGTCCTAAAGAAGGGCAATGCCAAGGAATATTCAAATTAGCAAACAATTGCACTCATTCCACACACCAGCAAGGTTATGCTTAAGATTCTGCAAGCTAGGCTTTAACAGTATGTGAATCAAGAATTACCAGAAGAGCAGGCTGGTTTTTGAAGAGGCAGAGGAACTAGAAACCAAATTGCCAACATGCGCTGGGTTATGGAGACAGCCAGGGAGTTCCCAAAAAACATCTGCTTCTGCTTCACTATACTAAAGCCTTTACGTGGCTTACAATAAAATGTGACAAGTTCTTAAAGAGATGGGAGTACCAGATCATCTTACTTGTTTCCCGAGGAGCCTGTATGCACACCAAGATGCAACAGTTAGAACTGAACATGGAACAACTGATTGGTTTAAGATTGGAAAAGGAGTATGACAAAGCTGTATATTGTCACCTTATTTATTTTAACTTATGTGTATAGTACATCATGTGAAATGCCAGGCTGGATGAATCAAAAGCCAGAATTGAGGCTGCCAGGAGAAATATCAACAGTTTCAGATAGGCAGACAATACCACTCTGATGGCAGAAAGTAAAGAGGAATTTAGAAGCCTCTTGATGGGAGTAAAAGAGGAGAGTGTAAAAGCTGACTTGAAGCTTAACATCCAAAAAACTAAGATGTTGGCAGCTGGTCCCATCACTTCCTGGCAAGTAGAGGGAGAAGAAATGGAAGCAGCGCCATATTCTATAGTCTTGGGCTCCAAGATAACTGCAGACAGCAGCTGCAGCCATGAAATTAAAAGGCACTTGCTCCTTGGAAGGAAATCTATGACAAATCTGGACAGCAGATTAAAAAGCAGACATATCACCTTGCTGACAAAGTCTATATCGTCAAAGTTATGTTTTTTTCCCAATATCAATATGTGGCTGTGATACTTGCACTATAAGGAAAGCCGAGTGCTGTAGTATTGATGCTTTTGAATTGTGGTGCTGGAGAAGACTTTTGAGAGTCCCTTGGACAGCAGGGAGGTCAAATCAGTCAGTACTTAAAGAAATTAATTCAGGATATTCACTGGAAGGTCAGATATTGAAGTTGAAGCTTAAATACTTCAACTACATAATGAGAAGATGGGACTCATTGGAAAAGACCCTGATGTTGGGAAAGATTGAAGGCAAAAGGAAAAGGGGACGGCAGAAGATGTGATAGATAATGTCATGGAAACAATAAACATGAACTTGGACAGGCTGCGAGAGGTAGTGGAGGAGAGAAGGGCCTGACGTTCTGTGGTCCCTGGAGCCATGAAGTGTTGGACACAACTGAACTACAACATGGAGAGAGCAATTTCACTTGAGTGATAAGGTTGGAAGCTTTATGCAAAGGGTGGAGGAGAGGAAGTGGAGGCAATGAGTATAGGTAGTTTTTTCAAGGAGTTTGGCTAAAGCCTTAGTGTAGGGCAATAACTTGGAAGGGTGGGGTCTGTTGATGATTTTTATTGGATGAAGAAGACTTGGGAATGTTTGAAGGCAGTGGGGAAGAAACAAGAGACAGGGCAAGGTTGAAAATGCTAGATGGGGAAAGATTGAGAGAAAAAGAGAGGGTGAAGGAAGAGAGAAGGATGATTTGAAGTCACAATCTGCTCTTGAACAGGGGTGTCAAACTCACAGAAATGGGGGCCACTGAACTATAGTTAATGATTCCTGTGGATCCTTACTCATTTAGTTTTAAAAATGTAATATTATCTGTGTTTCATTGTATTTTTTAAAATTTTGTTAAATATTTCCTTATTACATTCTGATTTAGGCCGCACTCGGGAGTATTGTGGGCCATGTGTTTGATACCTCTTCTTTAGAAGAAAGGAGGGGATTGGATTAAGGGTACTTGTTGAAGGTTTGGTCATGGTAAGGAGAAGGACCATCTCATTTTAAGAGACTTAGGAAAAGGAGCGTGTAGTTGTCAATGATATCCAGATTTTGAGAAGAGAAAGACAACAAATTCACATTAGATGGTCTCAGTTTTCTCAGTAAAGTAAGAGGGAGCTGAGAAAGAGGGGAGAAGAGAGAGGTGTGAGAGACTTGAGGAGGGAAGAGAAAGTTTGGAATAGCTTCTGTGGTGAACGAGATGGGGAATCAATTAGTGAGAAATGAAAGGACTGCCTTGCTGCAGTGAGAGCCCAGTTGAAGCTGGATAACGTCAATGAATATTGTACCCAGGCAGTCCTGTCATCCTATTTTGTTCAGCAGTGGTTGAGCACCATATGAGTAAATATTTTTTGGCTATAGGAATTCACAAAGACTTAGAAGGGTTACATTCTGTGATGGTGAAATGAAGTACTCATACTGACAAGACCACGACTATTTTACTTATTGAAAAGTGTGGAAAAGATTATGTGGAAATTGAGTTCTTGTTTATGATTTCCTCAGTACCATTCTCTAATTTATTTAGCCCAGCTGCCACAATGGAAGTTTTAACAGAAGATGACCTTGGAGAACAAACTTGTACTTTGACATACTTTAGGTCATTTCCCCTGCCTCTCACAGCAATCATTTTGGATTTTTCTAACCCAATTCAGGATGAATTAATTAAGCTTATCTATCTTCACAGTTGGTTTGGTTAATTATTCATTTTGAATAAGAAGAACTGGTTACATGTTATGGTTTTTTTCTGAAAGGTGGTCAAGGTCTTCTAGACCATAAAGATTTCTTTGAGTAATAATTTAGCATTAACTGATGGACTATTGTTTTCTTAGTGTATTTAGAGTACACCCAAGAAGAGCACAGTGTGAATGGAGCCCTGAACTAGGAATCAGGAAGTCAGTTTTGGTTATGTGGTTTGGGGCAAGAAATTGCCTTGTGGATGTCAGTTTTACTTATCTATAAAATAAATAGGGTTGGACTACATAATAGTAAGTTAATAAAAAATAATACCTCTTCTAGCTTTAATACTTGTAAATATGAGGGATGCTCATTTTTTTTGAAGATACAAATAATCAAAATTGTATTAAATTACTTTCAGCGAAGTAGAATTCAATTCAGCAGACACTTATACGAGTCCATTATGCAAAGAACTTTGCTAGGAATATAAGCACAAAAAAGAAAAAGTTTCTGCCTTCAAGGATTTTATGTTCTACTGTGGAACCCCTTGAGATATTGGCAGGGGTTAGAAGTGATACTTTATAGACTGCAGATTATATCAAGACTGTTTTTTACTATATGTAGTTATATTTCGGGGAATATAATTGGATAGCCACCCTGCCTTTGTAATAATTTTAATATCTAAGTTCATGCACTGTACTGACTCACGAAGATAGCTTTATAACTCTTACATTATATTAGTTTCTTTATATATGAATATTTATCATCCTTTTTCCTCTTATACCTCTTCCTCTAATGGAGGTCAGGTGGGACCTCCACACCTGAACTGAAGGCTGTAGTGTAAGTGTGATTTATGGATCAAGTTCTTTCTGATGAAAGGTGAAATGGTATTATTGATCCTTTGTGCTGGAAGGGGTTTGCTGCTAGTGAAGCCGGTCAGGCTGAGTACAGAATGAATGCAGGGACTCCCCCTTTCTCCTTCGTAGGATTGCCTCAAGGCGAGGGTAGACCCCTTGGTTTCTAACCAGAAACATCTTGAGCTTGTAGTCAGAAGCCACTTTACTAATGTAAAAAAGGTGAAGGTGATGGGAGGAAAGGAGTTCATACCTTACTTTTGCTTCCAGTGAGCCTTGGATTCAGGGGATTTCTCTTCCTTTTCTTTTCTCCCAGCATCCAGGTGGAGAAGAGGTTCTGATGGAACAAGCTGGTCGGGATGCGACTGAAAGCTTTGAAGACGTGGGACACTCTTTGGATGCCAAGGAAATGCTCAAGCAGTACTACGTTGGGGAAGTCCATCCGGTAAGCGGTGTGGAGCTGGAGGCTGTGATGGGGAAGGTGGGAGAGGCACATTACCAAAGAGGGTGAAATGAATTAGAGGATAATTAGATTAGAGGATTAGAGGTAATTCTCCTGATAAACTCCTCTGACTGCTCTCAGTACATAGTCATGTTCACAAGGCTGAGCACTTAGTGTTGGTTCACAATCCCAAGGAACTGGTTGTGAATTTTTCTCATGTAATGAAAAGCACCTTCACTGCCTGTGATTTGGCCCGTGTGCCGTTGTCTGGTGGCTCCTCTTCCATAGAGCAGCTGGCTCTGCATGTCCCTGTTTCTTCATTATTTGGATATTTCTTTAAATTTAATTTTTCTTTTTTCCAGAGTGACCTTAAAGGTGAAGGATCTGAGGTAAGAAAAGCATCAATTTTTTCTGTCCCCCTGAAGCACGAAGTGTCAGAACACAGTCCCTCAGTAGATCTACCAGTTTGGTGTATGCTTTTAGTTAGATATGAGTTGTGTTGTTTGGTTTTTTAAAACCAGGCAGAAGGACCCCCCCCCTTTTTTTTGTAAGGAATTTGAACTAAATTCCAACATAGGAGAAAAGTTTTCAATAGTAGAGAAAATGTCCTAAACATTCAATTTCTAAGCTAATTAGGATATGGGAATGAAGCAGACGAATTTGGGGCTTGACCCTGGAAAAACGATATCATCTGGCATGATGAACAGGTGATTTTATAAAAGTCTTGCTCTGTTCTCCGAGGGTGGTTTTGTTTTTTTGTTTTGTTTTGTTTTTTGGGAAAAGACTTAGAACACCAGTTTTTATCTCTCTCACCCATCCTCTCCTTCTCCTTTCCAAATACAAATATATACACATACACATATCCTCCTAATTTTCCATTTTAAAGAGTGGTGGAATGAATCGACTTGCAGATGGCCTTTCTACTCTTTACCCAGTAATCTACTTCTCTTACCGCGTAAAAATATGGAGGCTGCTTTGCTCAGGAATATGTTCCCTCATCCATTCACTCTGGTTTAGCAGGAAAGGTAGCATCAGTCATCAGTCAGTACTGTTGAGAGTCAACAAGTACCTCCCACTGTTACCACGCCTAGGACAGAAAAGATAAGGTCTTTCTTAGGCTCTCCTGCTCCAGGACTTCTGTTTCTTCACTGACCATCCCCCACCCAGCCCTGCCTCCTTTTCCAGCTTCACCTTTATAGGTGATAGAGTAGGAGCATCATAAAATCCATATGTCCTTTTCCCTGTGTCCCCATCCCCACCGAGCCTGAATTGCTGGGCGGGTTTGCTGCAGCAATTAGTGTTGACCTTGACACAAGTACTGAAGCCTCAGTTGCCTCAGAATGTCTGTGCCTGAGCGGCTCAATCCACTTCTTATGCCCCACACACTCACTATGCCAATGTATTAAATCATTTTCAGAAAAGGAAAGACTTGTCTCTACCCTAACTCTGAGCAGTGTTGGCTTGTAATGTGCATCGCTGCACCCCCAGCCTGTGTTCTTTGCCCCTGAGCTCTTGTCAGTAATGTCGAATTGGGTGGCTCCAAATGTTCTCATACAGTTTATTGAACTTGTCCAGAAAGCATTAGCAGGTCAGAGGTGGGTCTGTACTTCCTGCGGGTGTGTCCCTGTTTGCCCAGCAGATGTGTCCCGGCTTCTCGCTCGTAGATGCATCTTTGTTTACACCCCTAAAATAGGTTCAGAACATAAAGAAATAGAGAAAGCCTTATTTCTTGCACCTTTTCCCATGTGATTATAGTTTCTTTCCAATACCTTGTAGGAGACTAGAAAGAAGATACTGTGCAGAATTAAGGTCCCCCTTGCGAGTAGAGCCAGAAGCTGCGATGGGCTCTGAGGGTGCCGGCTGAGGATGGTGGCTATGACTTAGGAATACCCAGCAGGTGCTAGTCACAGGAAGGGGCTGTGTTTTCAGTTGAAAACTAAGGAAATATTCCTCCGGGAATAGAGAGCAAAGTCTTATTTCAAGTAAGGATCCTGCATGTCTGTGCTAAAGAGACTTTTTATTACAAAGTGTCCTGAGAAATTTTGACTATGGCCTTGCTCCTTTTACAGGATTTAGATAAGTAATAATAACTGGCATTTATGTAGCACTTTAAGGCTTGATTTATATACCTGTGCTGTCTCATAAAGCATAATCTCTGTTGTACCTATAGAATATTAATGATAGAACACTGGATAACTGTATTATAAAAATAAAAATAAATTCTTCCAGCTGGCAGTTTAGCAGATGACTAAATTATATGTAACAAGATTCAGTTTAGCAGAGTGTTGGGTTTTACTGATGGCCAAAGATACAGTTATGGTTACTGAGACTCAGCTTTTCCTCATGTTCACTGTGTTCACACGATTCTCTCAGCTGTAAAGAACGTGATTCTGTAGGTTACATAGTTCCTCTAAAAGTGATGTACATCCTAGATCATCATGTTTGCTTTTAGTTTAGGACTCATGGACAGTAGGTGGCCTTTTGGACACTTTGTAAAGACAGCTGGTGTAGTGGATGGAAGACTGGGCTTGGAGTCAGCAAGTCCTGAGTTCCAATTCCTGCCTCAGACACTTACTGGCTGCGTGACCCAGAAGAAGTCATGTGATCTCCGTGGGGCTCAGTTTTTTCATATGTAGAACAAGGGGATTGGACTTTGTGACCTTTAAGGTCCTTTCCAATTCTGTGATTCAGTGAACTCATCACCTCCCAGAGAGACAAAGTCCAAACCTGGTTTTCAGTTCCTCAACCCGCTTAAGAAGGAGTATTCTCTCTCTCAAGTTATTAGACAAGGCTTCCAATCTGCTGATGTTTGCTAGAAGAACTGTCATTTCTGGTGATTTTTCTGGCTTATCTTAACCAAGAGAAAATGGTAAAGTTTCTTCTTTTCATCACATCTTTCTTTTTTAGGTCCCTGGAAGGCAGGGGCAGAGTAAGCTTTCCCAAAGTAAAGTTTCTAAAAGTTTGAGGATTTTACCCTCTTGGATATAAGGGTTATGTCAGTCTTTGTCAAGAAGTTTTAGACCTGTTGAAGGCCAAGGTTTTGTTTTCATCTCTCCTCTATTTACTTTTAATGTGGAGAGAGTTCTCATTCTTGTTCTAAGTTTTTTGCAGGTAGGGGGAGTGTGGAATGTGAAAGGGGCTGTGGGAAAGTCTGCTTTTCTACTTCAGGTCCTTTCTCTTTAGGACATTAAAAAAAAACAATCAAAATTAAATGTGTAAAAATAACAGCTATCTGTTTGGTTAGATTTATGCCAGTTTTTTCAATGTGTGATCAGGGTGAAATTCCCTGAAGTTTACCTTTCTGACTTAAAGCTCAACTTTATTTGGTTAGTAACCATTATTCTATTTTTCTAGGGGACTCCTCTTCATGTTCTTTTCAGTACCCCCTGTCCCGGAGACATGGTCATTTCTTACCCTGATTTAATGTCAGATAACTCACCAAGGTAGCTCAGGGGCCGGGGCACCAGAAACAGACCCAGAGGGCTTACCGTCATTCATGTCTAGTTTCTGGCGTCTTTCAAGCTTCTTGAGATGAAGTGCCAGATTGTAAGGTAAGACAGCTGAGCAGATCCTCTTTCCTGCTCCGGACTAGTTCAGGTAGTGGGCTGACAAGCCTCTTTGATTGCTATGACTGAAAAGCCTACAAGCTGCTGTGCACACTGAGCTTTCCTTGCTGGGCAGCTTTGCAGTGGACACTTGTCTTGGGAATCACCTTGACAGTGTAGCAAATCTCTTCTGATCAATCATTTGCCAAGACAGTTAACTTGGGATTGTTCAAATAAAGCCCACAGGTTTCGATCTTCAGACTGACTAAGCCTGTAGTTTCTGTTAACTTCTTATTGAATTTGACCAGAATTATGGTGCATGTAGACAGGTGGGATGAGCTGTCTTTTCTCTCCCGGCCTCTCCACAGTGGGGAAGTGAAAGTGTAAGGAAGTACCCTCAGTGGGTCAGCAGGGGTGAGCTTCAGGAAACCTTCCCCGTTCCTTTGCTATGTGGGTGTCAGAGGTTAATCTACTATTTCTGCCGATGTCACAAAGTCCTTGGCATAGAGGTGGCCTTGGGCTCTGTGACTATGGTAGATGAGTACAGGTTTTGGCCACTTCTGCAGAGCTGGAAATGCTTTGACCTTGATGGATCTGGCACCAGATTGTATGGCTAAACTAGTCTGTATAACCTACACACAACCAGCCCCACTTCATCTCAAGAAGCTTGGCCACCCAGTGGTTTGCGTTTTCTTTTTTGGTCACTGCCACTCATAAAACTGTAAATAAAAGAGGAGTAGTTGATCTAAATTGGTGGAGGGAGCTCCCATGCTGAAGAAGTCACAATCCCAAAAAGAGTTTGTTGTTCCTTGCTTTATGTGGTCTATTCCTGACAGTTTTGGGGAGATAAAGATGAGTTGACTTTACATTCAGACCCTCACTCATCTGCCTTGCACAGAGCTCTCTGCAAACAGCTTTTGAGGTCTAATTGAATGTTACTTCCTCCTGCGATAGTGTCAGTCCTGCTTCCCACAGAACATGGCTTTACTGCCTTGTCTGTAGCAGCCCTTTTTGTTTTGTGACACAAGATGAAAGAAGAATACCTGGGTACAGTGGCCAAATGTAGCCATCTGGAACTTGAACAGAGTGATTTTGGGGAGCTATAAATTATATCTATAAAGTTATTCAAGTGGAGAAGAGGGCAGAGTTTTTATGAAGACCTTGGCTATACACGTGCCCTTTGGCTAACAGTGACTGCTGCTTGCTGAGGCATCATGTCAGGGTCATCAGATTCTTCTCTGCTTATGTTGAAGACTCCTGTTTTATAATGTTCTCTTCTATTCTGAAACTTAGATCAAATCCAGTGGACTCTGTTGAAAACCCAGGTGCCCTTCATCTCACATCTTGAGACTGCTCTGGAGTCTGCTTCTTCGTAAAACACTATTCAAAGTTGATCAAGAAAAACAAAGATTAGCAGAACCCAACATCCTTCTCAGAACCAGCACTTTAATTTTGTCACAGCCTTCATTCTTAGGTCCCAGTAGAGATCATCTTGTGTCTTCATTTTAATGGGTTTCATCCCTTCTACCGAAGTCCTATTTAGATGTCTCATTGTTGCCCAGAGGTAGTGACCCTGAGTCCTCAAAGGCAACAGGAACACAAGTTTTGGAAAGATTTCAAGTGTTGTCTTAGTGATGGTCTGTTGTCCAAAGACAATAACCGTGTTAAATGGGGAAGGGTCTGAGTACCAGAAGGTGAAGACCCGAGGTTTGTTTTTTTGTTTTTTGTTTTGTTTTTGGCTACAGTAACTCAAAAAGATCATCCATTGAGGTAGGAGTGGGCAGTCACCCACCCCGATGAAAACACAGATCTTTTGAAGTAACTAAAATACATGTATTATTCTTCATTTAGTTTACTGAATTCTTGAGGTTTTTTCCTTAAAAGTTTTTTGAAAAACATGCTCTTATTTATATATAGGAATTGTGCTTTCATTCCTATGAAACGATAGTGCAGTAATAAACAGAATGATTTTCTTAGAGATCAGCATCAGTATTTTGCAAAGTAGTAATTGGAGCAGCCCAAATCACCTAATATTATCTACCTGGACAATAAGATTGAGTAACTTTGAGTAGATTAGAAATGTTAGTTGTTTGTCACCTCACTTTAATGCTGGTTCCCCCATGTCCATACCACTGAAATCTCCACATAGGTGAACGTATATTTATTGTTGTTTTTGGAAACAAGTGTCTGAGGGCACATTTGAACTCCGGTCTTCCTGACTCCAGGGCGGGTGCTGTCTCCATTGTGCCACCTAGTGGCCCCAACCCTAGGTGAACTGTATGTTTGAAGATAAACTGAGAGCTAGGATTTCTTTTAAATGGAGTTCAGGATAGAGACCCCACCATATGACAAATACTGTGCTAAAGCAAGGTTTTAATGTACTTAGGAAGGGAAACTGACATTTGTGTCAGGCCTTAAAAGTCTTGAGTTTTTCTCAGGAAGAGTTGTCCATGAATATTGAAAATTTGTATTCTAGTAAGATAAGACTCCCAACCAGGGCACCCAAATATTCATTATTTTTCCTGGAATCCTCCCTGTGGCTTAGAACACTTTTTAAGTACTTGGATTCATAAACAGTCAGTTTGTGACTTAAAAATAAGCTCCAATAAATGAATACTCTAAAGTGCATTTTATTTTACTTTAACCTGAGAAATCCTAGATGTTCAGTATTTTAGTTGGAAGTGTAGAGGTGTGTGTGTGTGAAATATCTTCCCATATACATAGTGACTTTGTATAGCCTAAAGATTGCTGCTATTCTGAGGTGCTGTTCTTTTGCTAGATTTATACTCTTGTAATAAAGGATATCCATTCTCTAAGAATGGGTACTTGGGTACACATGTGACAAAGGATGCCTCTGTAGCAAAGGATACCCAGTCTCCTCCAGGTAGGGCTATGCTGCTCTCCTGGATTAGATATCCTAGGGAAAATGGTTTTGTTGTACGTGACTCCCTAAATGGTTGTCAATTCTGGATGCCCTATGGAGCTGTCAGGGCCACATAAATGGATTTTATCACCCCAAGGAAATAGGGGCAGGCTCTGAACTTTTAAACTGGAAAGGAATCAGCTTGGTGCAGTGCCTTCTCATTCCATCTCAAGGGAATGCCCTCACTGCCTAGTCTCTAGAGAAGCTGGCTAAGGATTACTGTCATGGGGCTGACTTGTGGCCATTGGTAAGAAAATGATATTGGATTAGTTGAATTTGACATGAAAGCAATAGAATTTTAGAGATGGAAGGGACTTTAGAGATCATCTAATATAACCTCTTAATTTTGTAGACGAGGAAAGAGAAAAGTTAAAAGACTTTGATTTGAAGCTGTTAGACATAGTTCCTGTAACAAGCACCTTTCTAGAAGGGCCACTCAGTTATTATGAAATATCTCCTTTCAATTCACCAAGACCATCTATAGTGTCTCAATTTCCCAGAGTTTTAAAAATCGTTGCCCAGTGTGTTAATGAAGCTACAACTGAAAGGCCTGATTTTCTTTTAAGATTTGGAAACAAATTTTTTTTTCTTACTTAAAATCACAGTAAGTTTACGATGAGGTTTGTTAACTCTTAATCATAGTTAACATCCGAAATTCCATTGAGAGCAATAAGGAAACATGCAAAGGAATTCCTTGGTCTGTTGAATGCTGAAAATACTATTTCAGATTTTAGTTTGCTCCTAGCACTTCTGTTTCTGCTCTGTGTGCCACAGACGAGACAGCTCTGAGGTTTATAAGAGTCACTGTGTTCTGCTCCCTGAAAATCTTGTATGTAAATTCAAATCAGGGGAGGGTCATACTAGCTGGATTTGCCTCCGTGGCCAAAAGTCTATATTAAAGGGACCTCTAGGGGTTTCTTTTAAAATCCATTAGGTTGAACATAAAACTTTGGGAGTGATGATGTAGATTGGGAAATGACATTTGGAGGGAGGAAGGGGTTGAAGGTAGACATAGGTGTTAGTAGAATCATTTAAGGACTAAATGTCTTACATTTTTTTATTTTGCAAAATTAAAAGTAACTTATTTGGCTTCTTTCCAAGCTTGGCTGAGGGACTTAGCTTCTAATAGCACTGCTTTAAACAACTCTTTCGTTGTAGTTGATTACAAGTGGGGCCCCTGTAGCAGGGCATTTACTTGGCTGAGAGTATCCTTAAGGGAGAGCAAATTTTTTACCTTCCTCCTTTTACTGTGCTCTGTTAGGTAAGATTGTGTCTTCTCTTCTGGGGGTAGATGGTTATGATCACAATAAGGGCATTTTGAGGTCCTTTTGGTTTAAAAAATATATGTCTGTATGTATGTATGTATGTTTGTATGTGTGTTTCTAAACATTAGTTAGGAAGTAGTTTAACAGTTAAGTCCAAATTTCTAGCCTTAGGTTCCTTCCTTCCATTTTTATAGGCCACATTTGAAGGTGAGCAGAAAAATCTTCGGCACTTTCCATGTCTCAGGAATTGTAACCATAATTAAGGGGAGAAGCTAATGTTCCAAGTTTGAATCCTAGAAAAGGCTCTATATGAATAGTGTACTCTCACAATTCTAGACTTGAGTGCTACAATGTGTAACTTGTCCTTTAATTCCTTTGTTTTTGGCCAGAGTTCAAAATTTCTAGCGAAACATCTTGTTTCATAGCCCCTTTACAAGTCTATTCTGTCAAATACCAATATGTGTCTGTGGAGAAAAATCCCAATGTAACTGTTAGATAGATTTAGTATGAGACCATTGTTCTTTTCCTGATGCAACCAGATCATATGTGCCTGCTGTTCAGAAATTTAAAAAATAAAGGATTAGGCAACATTATAGGTGATTAGCGTAAAACAGTTCTCAAAATTGAGGCTGTGAAGTTTTCATTAGACTTTTTCACATCATTCCCCATAAATACTTAATGTACCCAATGGCCATGGATCGAAAGACCCTGTATGTCATCTTAGTTATCATGGACCATTGAACAGTTTTGCTTTTTTTGCAGCTTAATTTCTTTCCGGTCCTAAGGAAAGGCTTGGATTAATTTGCATAGTTTTAAGTCATGGGCATGCAAGATTGAAACTTCATTCCACATAGGATCTATATAGGTTTGCTAGGAAGTCTTTCACTAATTTGTTGTCAGAAACTTGCAGACTTTACGCATGGGCAATAATCATATTTTGAGAGGACGTACCTTAGATCTGTGAATTGTTGCCCACTTTCAGTTGTTATACAAACTTTTTGTGTAATAGCGTTCATTTCTGGAATTACCTGCCACCTGAAAATAAATATGAATGGGATTTTTGGATTCAGGGTTGTTGATATCTTATATGAAGGTGGATGTTCTCCTTCCCTATTTTCATTTCCTTGTGTATGGTAGCTCCACAAATCGTATACTCCTTGGTCCTAGTTGTACTTAGTATGCAGTTAAAAGCATCAAAAGGAAGTCACTTTTTTCTAGAAATAATAAAGTCTTGATATTCTTGTTATGTGGAGGATTGCATAACTAGCCATTGTATTCTAGAGGAATTTTTAAAATTTTGATCTGTTCCTCTAGGAGAGCATACGGTCTTATCTCTTGACAGTGGCAAGCCCAACTCGATTAGGTAGCCTAGTGGGACCATGAGTCCACTTCACTGTAGTGGCTATCCCTGAGTTCCTCTCATCTTGTATACCTACTCATTAAGGAGTTTTATTTAGTTTTATTTTAGTTTTATTTAGTTCTAGAGCTGGTCTAAAGTATAGTTTGGATTCATGTTGCAGTTTGTAGTTTTAAACAAGCAATGCTAACCATATTTCCTTTCTTTCTTTTTGTTTTTTTTTGTTTACATCTCCAGAATTCAGGTTCAGCGTGCAGAAGGTACAGTATTACTTCAACAAACTTCCTTGTATTTTACAAGTAAAGTCTTAATACAGAGGTCCATCTCTAGTGATAATAAGTACATAAGTACATACTTTCTGTAATGTGATATAAGGTTACAGCTTGGAAAACCTTGCTTTTTAAAAGGGAGGTTGCTACCTGATTGACAGGTTTAACTTGTCTCTCATACCTTTAGATTTCTTTTCTGCCATACATAGATAAAGCTGGTATTCCCCCCATGTCATATTTGTTCACTGACACAAGAAAAAAATGTGTTAATTGAATCTGTTTGGGCCCACTTTTAAAGGCTTTCAAGTTATTCAGCCTCATTAGCTACATATATCTCAAGTAGAAGGCCAGCCAGGCCATGTGGAACCTTAGGGACCTGTTTGACTCTTGGGACCTTGAGCTGTATTAAAAATAAATATTCTTCTTTCAAACAGTTTCATTTTAGTTTTGAAACTTATACAGAAAAATCCATGCAGTACCTTTGGCTGGGTGTTCATGCCTTTCAGTAGCCATTTTCTTGTAGTGTTATCTAGATTTACATAACTTGTTGGAGAAAGTCCTTCTGTAGAAATCTTAATTATTACTAAATTTGGCTGGATACTATGGCAGTTAAAAATGTTAATTCAATATTCACTAACATCTTGTTGTTTAGCAGCTAATATTTCCCAGTTTTTTGCCTAGAAAAGAAAGTACTGATTGTGCAGAACATTTTGGATAAATGTGTATAACTTTATTGCACTTTGTTTTGTTTTGTTTTCTCTAGTTGCTGGTCAAATTGGATTATCCCTGTTGTGGGTGTTGTCCTCTTAGCTGTCATGTATCGTTTTTACATGGCAGAGAGCAAGTTGTCCTGAGCCAGCTTCTTTGAAACCTGGAAAGTGAATACACTAGAGAGAGAAAAAACATGCAGTCCTGCTCTGGTAGGATTGCTGGATTCCCCCCTCTTTGAATCCTGCCAATTTTATCGCCCCCCTGCTAAGTCACAATGGGCATGCCAACCGTCCACCTCTGAACTAGGCCAGCGCGCCTCGTTATACAGTTGCAATGCCTTACTTACTCCCAGAGGCATCCTCATTGTCAAACATTTCATTCTCTGGCCTGTCTATTCTTCCTGAAGTTTTTGTAAATTAACTCTTCATTCCACAATTTTCTGTCAACCAGTTCGTTCAGGGAAGTGGAGAAGTCATTTGAATGTGTATATGTAAAACAATTCTGTGATTTTACAAAAAAAAAAAAATACTGTCAGTTTACAGTGTCTTTCAATAAAAATGTCTTCTGACACTTTGAGCTTGGAGTGGGCATTCTCAAAAGAAGGACAGCAGAATGCCTAGTTTTGAGGAAGAGAGAATGTTTTTTCTTTTTTCTTTATATATTGGTAGCTACTTTTAAGCAAATACAATTTTTAAAAAATTACAGTCTAACTTAATGCCATTAATTTAGTTATTTCTGTGATACTTATCTTAAAGTGCATAGCTACTGTTATCTGGAACACAGTTTTCTAAATTGTCGTTTTTGAGACTAATGTTGTATCCTCATTTCCCCACAAGGGTAGCACTTGGCCTCTGTGGTCCCAGTTTCTTTTCTTTTTAAAGTGGTGTTTGAAGTAAGCTAGTGTCTCCTTTGGTGAGTGAGTGGATTCTTTTAGGCTCTGATGAGTTCATAGGAGCCTTGAGGGAGGGCTGGGTATGGAGGTGGGAAGGCGTGACCGTGGATTTGAGTGAAAAAGTTTCTGAGTTACTTCTGAGCAAGTGGTTTGAGGAAACAGTAACCATTCCTGTAGCTTGGTACTTTTTTTTTTTTTTGGTCTATTAAAAAATAACAGCATATCTAAGTTCAGAGTAAGTCTGGCGAGCTTTCTCAGGGTATTTGTGTAATTTAGTGGATTTTGGAGGAATCCTGATTGTTTAAGAGACCATGACTTCAAATATATCCATGACATTTGGGATGAAAAATAGTTGGTACAATAATATGGCATTTGTGGGTGGAGTAAATAAGAGGAGAAAATGTTTGAGTTTATGCTTCTCTCTTTGACCTCTGTGGCTCCCAGGTGTTTGTAACCAATCCTGTTGGAATGAACTACAATAAAAGAGACATCCTGTTTTTTTTCTTGGCATGGGTGTTTTTACCTGTTGCTCACTTGTCGTGCTTCCTAGAAGCAGATTGTCCCACACCCTAGACTTTCTCCTTTCTTCTCGGAGCCCCTGTGTACATGCTAGACTAACTGTATCCCACTATTTTTGTTGACGATTCTTACCTGTCCTGTGAGAATAACCTCATCCAGCAGGGAGGCACCACCAACTCTGCCCATTTCCTCCTCCCTTCCTTCTTCACTCTGCCAGGGCCCCGACGAGACAGGAAGCTGCTCAGCAAACCTGTGTCTGCCCATGCAAACTAGTCAAGAAAAAGTTCAACCAAGGTCTTGTATACTCTGATTTAGCAGATGACTGAATACAGAATTCATTATATAATATTTATCAACTTTTACATGCACATATCTAAAGGATATCTAAAGGGTTTCTGGAAGAAATTTTATGGATTTCTGGGATATGTATGATGCAGCCTTTCTTTTGGAAAATGTATTGGCATCTATTGCAAACCCCCTACTTTAAGATGTGAGCTATATGATTGAGAAAATCTTTTAATTGCTCTTTGTAAAGGAACATTAGCCATCGATTCCTCTAAATTGTGTAGGATGAGGATGCCTTGAGTAAAGGGATTGGCAACAATTAATGAGGATAAATTGGTTTCTCTTAGAAATGTAGGGGTATTTTTTGTCTTTGGCGGGTGGGGGGAGGGAGGAGAGGATGCTGGGTTGGAGAAGGAAACATTGAAAGTAAAATGAAGCCGGAAGATAACCCAGATACATTAGAGAAGTACATTGGCAATATTCAAAGTTGAATGAAAACCAGCTGGGTTCTAAGAAATTTTATAAAACTATCCTCTTGTAAAAATGGTGTTTTGATATTTTAGGGCAAAACAATAATGTGTTTTTCTGTTTTGTGCTGGACATCTTTTCCTGTTTACATCTGGAATTGTTCTTCCCCAGAGCCAGAAGAAAATTCTTTGGTCTCATCCCTATTACACATTAAAAACCACACAAACTTTGAGTTCCTTTTTGGACTCCGACTGCTCATATCATGTCTTTAGTGGTATTATTAAAACTGCTCTTGTGTACATTTGCTACCATATTGTATTGGAAACACCTGTTCTGGGTATCTCTCTAGCAAGAGAGCCCATAACACCAGTTGCACGCTAACGGCTTTGTAATGGATTTGAGCAACAAGATGATCCAGTTAACTCCATTTGTGCTGTAAATAAAAGCCAGACTACTCATCAATTTCAGCATTGTTGGATAGATAGCAAAAGCTGGTCTAAGGTATCTGTGAAATAAGTCCCCTTTGGCCCCAGTGCTCACTGGCACTGGCCTCGGGGGTATTTTCTTGTTTATTCTGGAGGAAAATTAGCCGTCGTGTGCTAGCTACACTGAGTCAGAGGCGTAATGTCTAGGGAACAAATCTAGGAAAGAGGCAGGGGGGAGCTGGTGCCACCAAGAATACACACTGTCGGCTGTGCCAGTTGGCCAGTCTTTGCGCCAGGTCCCTAGAATTCCCTCACTCTAGCCCTGGAGGAATTGGTTTCAGTGACTTCTCTACTTGTTAAGAGAGGGAGGGGGCAGAAACAAAGTCAGTATTGTGTTTCTTGGGAATAGCTTCACCAGAAGCAAAATCCATTGGAACCTGTAATTTCAACCTCTGGAGTTCGTTCCTTTAGCAGAGGTCATAAAAGTAAGTATGGTGAAATAAGAGCACTGTTGAGTTCCTATTCACTTGTGAATATTCCTATTCAGTTGTGGGATAAGGAAAAGTATTTTACAGGCCAAGTATGTCATTCCAGCACCTCATGCTTAAAATCTGAGGTGATGCCTCTCTAGTTTAAATTCCATTTTAGGAGGTGGAGATGACATAGGCAGAAAATGAGAACCTGCTCCTACTCTCCTCAAGCAGGAGGTAGTCAATCCTGACTTGTCCCAACAAGAATTGGTTTTGTCGAACTGTCTTCCTCTGTAGTTGCCCAGCATGACAAAACCATTGGAGAGTTTAGCCGGATTTGGCTCTCTTAACTCCCCAAGAGCTAGGGTTGGAATGTGCGGGGGTGATGCAGCCTAGAAATGTTTCTCCAATTACCTGTTATGTTCTGGGTTTGGCACCTTAACTAGCAACTTTGTTTTCAGCACATATGTCTTAAATTTGCCCAATTGGGGAAAAATACTAGTATAATTTAAATTGCCTTTCTTTATAGCATACATGCCTGACTGACAGTAAAAGTGTGATATCAGCATCCCTCTTGTGTGTTCAGTAATGGAATGTGTTCACCTTTTTAATTTCAGAATATTTTACACAAAGATCTTTGTCTATTTCTAATGAGATATACAGACAGTGAATGTTTATTAGAGTGGACACACAATAAAGATACTGTTTTCTTTTTTCTTGACTTGGTGACAGTTCTTTAAACATTAAAATCAGGAGTCTGTTAGATTTTTATTCTTTTTTTTTTTTTTTAAGTGAGGCAATTGAGGTTGACTTGCCCAGAGTCACACAACTAGGAAGCATTATGTGTCTGGAGGCCGGATTTGAACTCAGGTCCTCCTGACTCCAGGGCTGGTCCTCCATCCACTGAGCCACCTAGCTGCCTCTAGATTCTTTTATTCTACGGTGTTTTTGGAGACCATGTGAATATAATCTGAGGCTATGCTAAAAATTTCTGGTTAATGTGACTCCTGATTTGAAACTGTTGGTCTGAAGGATTTCTGCTGCTGCTCAGGGCCTGAAGGAAATGCCTCTTCTGATGTATACAAAAGATGGGGGAGGAAACCTCAAAGACTTTTGGACAATAGTAATGTAAACCGAATGTAGACTTCGGTCTTCTAAAGTGAGAACATTATGAGGTAATGGTATGTTCTTTGTAAAGATGACCAAGCAAGGTGCTTTGGGAGAAATTTCAATTCTGGGGCTAAAGTTACAGTAATTATAAAATCAAAATAAGGAAACTAGTGTGCTTTAACTGCTTCTGGCTTCTCAGTACTGAGATGAGAGTCTTGTGAAACTACTGATTACGCTCATTAACACTGATTTTTCTCGCCCTGTGAATCCAGGACCTTTTCTTCCATTAAGTCTTGCAGCCATGTCCAGTGGGAAAAACACGATCCTTGGTCTGATAATACCTGGGCTCCAGGTTTTGCCACTTAACTCCTGTAATACCACTGAGTCATCTTTTCCTCATTGGTCAGACTGGGCTGATACCTACACAGCTTATCTCATTGTAGTGGAGTATAGTCCTTTGTAACTGAAAAAAGCATCATATTTTTAAAAAGCCAACATTTTAGCAGTCAGTTTTTTTGCTCGCTGATCAGAAGAATCCCTGTTCTGTTTCTGCAAGCACCAGACCCATTTTGTATAGTGCTTCATGGTTTTCAGAGCACTTGACATGCATTATCTAGTCAGTCTTTGAAACAACTGTCTGAGGAGTAGATGATTGGTATATTACTGTCCCCAGTTTACAAATGAGAAAACTGAAGCCCAGAGACATTGCCTTGCTTGTGGTTACACGGTTTCAAAGGTGCAATTTGAATCCATCCAACTCCCAATCACCTGTACTGTTATCTAGTACTGGCAGAAAGAGTGAAAGACTGGTTCTAAGGATGCCATGTTGCTCTGTTTTCATGGCCAAAAGGTGATGGGATGAGTTCTAGAATGGAAGTGAGTTCTGTATTTGGAGTCGGAGCAATTGGATTCGAATCCTGGCTCTGCTAATTACCAGTTCTCTGAGCCTCAGTTTCCTGATGTGTAAAATAAAGATCGCAGTAAATGAACCTATAAGTACTGTAGAAATGGGTGCTGATGGTAGTAATCAGGTATTTTCTAATCATTGATGGATACGTCAGTGATCAGAAGGTATCAGGTTCTACCTTTGCTGATATTTCCTTGCAGGGTAGTAGCTTATCCAACCATGTGTTCAGTGTGGCATGCTAAGCTTCCATAGTAAGGCCAGCTAAGTAAACAAAACTTGAGTTACAGAACAGGAATGCCAGCCTAGGCCCAGCCTACTAAGTTTTGCTGATCTCCATTGGGTATTAATTATTCTCTCTTTGCATATTTGTTTCTACGTCAGGTTAACTACTTACATTTCAACTTCATGTGTACCGATGCCTATTTTAAAAGCTAAGTAATTTTGTAGATGGTTTTTGAGTGAAGAAAAACAAAAGCCCTACTTGAAACAATACATCCTCTGAAATGACTCCCTTGAGAAACTTGTGATAGAACTTAATGCTTGCTACATAGAATCTGATTTTGAAATTTTATCAGATCACGTTGCTTGGTGGGGGAGAGGTGGGAGAGAATTTGAAACTCATTTTTTTAAAGAATGAATGTTAAAAATGAATCTATTTTTTAAAAGAAATCAAAGCTATTTCTCAGTTTTAGTAAAACTACCTGCTTAAAAGGTGGGGAGGAAAGAAGATTAGGAATCTTTATACCAGCTGGAGTAAAATAAAAATTTGGTTTGCTTAACTGGGTGAAGTTGTGAGTCCTTGAATTAAAGTTTTTTATACTTACATGGGATGAGATTTACCTTGTATTCTAAAGGTCTTGCTCAGTGCCACTGACTGGTACATCATTAAAGAATTATTAAGAGACTAATGAAACCATTTTTAGAAGGCATAAATCTCCCTTTGCTCATCTTGTTCTGGGTTCATAGCTTCTACAAATTGGAAACGTGAATGAGGTGGGAATCTTGGACCTAACCTCCAGGAGTGTTACTTCCAGCTTTGGAGACATCATAATGTGACAAGCTAAGGTCGTTGGGAAAAGCGGCCTCAACAAATCAAATGACAAATGTTGTTTGTTAGCCAGCATAACAGATGGCATTTTCAGTCCAATAGTGCCAGTCTCAAAGCAGCTTCCTATTGTTCTTGTGTTTCTGGTTCTTATCTTTGTGACTCAGACACGCCCATGTTAACATTAGAACCATGTGGATGTGGAAAGAAAAGGGCCAGATGTTTGGAATTCACCGTTTCTGGAGTCAGCTTTCTTTTAGAATCTTCCTGGAATCTTAACCAGTTTTCCTCTTGTGCAC